ACCCTTTGCACTGCAGGACCCATCAGTGTCCTCCCCTAGCTCCCTGAGCAGGTCCTTTGCCCCAGCAGAGCTCCTGTCCCGCCAAGGGAGCGAGCAGGTCCCAGCATCCCCAGCTCTACCTTGGCAACGAGTTTTGCAGGCAGGACCCCTTCTCCCGTGGGTGCCCAGCGAGCCCTGCCTCCAGCCTGGCAAATGCTCACATCCCATGCAGGTGGGCCAGGAGAAGCTCCGGGCTGAAGTCTGTCGCCAGGTGAACACATGCAACATGCTGCTGTACCAGGTGGAGCAGCGGAGCCGGGCCAAGGAGCGGCTGCAGAGGCGGCTGCAGCAGCTGCAGGATGTCCAGAGGGCCGAAAAGCAGCAGCAGGCACAGGTCCCAGGGCCCCTCCCTGGGGTGGCAGCACCCGTGGGGGGTTTCAGTCAACCCTGCCCCCCTGGGTGGGCACTGGTCTCAGTAGATGGGCTCACCCCTTGTCTCCAACCTTCTCTGCCCCAGGTGGTTCGTACCCTGGAGGGCAACATAGAGAAGATACAAACAAAAGTCCGCGCTGGGCAGAAGGTGACTGCCCTGTACGTGGCGGTGCGGGATGCCCTGAGGAAGGTGAGCTCATCCTCACCGTGCCGTTGCCTCACCCGCTCCCCCTGCAAAGGCACTGAAGGGCCCAAGGGGCTGTGCTGGTGGGACACCCTCCTGCAGGAGGTCCTCCTGCTCCCCTCCACCTTCTGTCCCAGCACAAGGCACCCCTGGGACTCAGTGGGCTGTGGCTCCCCGTGTCCCAGGAGCTGGCCCACCTGCCTCTGCACCTGGACCTCCTGAGTGAGATGGCCGAGCTGCAGCATAGGGAGGTGGAAGACATGGAGCTCATGGCCTCGCGTGGGCTCAGAGCTGTTCGTGGAGCCAAGGTGAGACCATCGTCCAGGGCACCTCGGGGTGCTTTCCTGCCCTCCAGAGCCCACACATGGCACCAGATGGCCGTGCTGCTGAGTCTTCCTTCCTTCAAGAAAAAGCAAGACTGAGCTTGGCTTCCCCGCAGCACCCAGATGCCTCCATAGCTCCTCCTGTGTCTGGCTCTTGGGCCAGGCTGCCCTGAGCTGGGGACAGCTGCCTGAAGCCCTGGCCACGGGGAAGGTGGCGTTCTCCATCCTCTAGCTGGCCTTGCTCGCTTTCCTTCCCAGGCTGTTTACAGGGGGTAGGGGGTGGCACTTTTGATGCTGGCCATGCCAGGCTTAGAAGCTCACAGAGGTCCGCTGGAGCTTTGGGAGCCACTTCTCTTCTGCTCTGCTCTTCTCTGCTCTGCTCTTCTCCAGGAGCACATGGTCAGGACGAAAAACCCAGGTCCTTGCAGAGAGGGAGCTCAGGCTCCGCACCCAGGCTGCTCAGAAAGAGCCCACAGACGGAGGCTGGCTCAAGGAAGCAAAAGAAAGGGCTCTGAAAATGGTGAGCTGGGGGGCCCCGGCACAGGCAGGGTTGCAGGCATAGGGCGGGCATCAGTGCCCAGCCTGCCATGGGTGAGGGGCTGCAGGGCCAGCTCCCCCAGGGTGCCAGCAGCTCAGGGGTGACGATGAACATCCTTGCAGCGAGCCAAGCGTGACCTCAGCAGGGACTTCCTGCGCCTGCCCGCAGAGGACCCAGTGGTGGGTGAGTGCCTGTCAGGGTGCAGGGGGCGGATGCAGGCGCAGCCGCAGGCATCCTTCCCTGCCACAACCTTTCCACCGCAGCTGCCAAACTGGAGGCCACCAAGTCCCAGCTGCAGCGGGAGGCCTACGTGAGGGAGAAGATGGAGAAGGCCAAGGATGTGGTGCAGTGCTCCCGCCTCTGGGTGAGGTGAAAAGCCGTCTCTGGTAGAAGCTGGGGCTGCTCCAGCCCCAGGGAGCTGAGCCTTGTCTGCTCACCTTGTTCCATGGCAGGGTTATCTGCTCTCCTCTGCCCCCAGAGCCCCCCAGGGCCCCTCTTGTACAGGCAGGGCTGGAACTGCTTTGCTCCACGCCATCAACTTGCAGTGCTTCCTGTGGTTCCTGGTGCAGAAACCTCCCCAGGAGCACGGCCCAGATCCTGTACCCTGCAGGAGTGCCCTGGCTGAGTCCCTGTGCTCTCCCCCGGCCAGGACATCCCCGTCAGGCTCCAGGCACAGCAGAAGTCCCTGCTGGAAATGGAGCACTACCTCACAAGGTGCAAGGAGAAGAAGCAGGAGCTGGAGAAGACAGTGAAGGAGCTGGAGATGCAGCGCGATGAGCTGAAGTTTCGCCGGCCCCCAGACACAAGCAGGTGCTGCTGGCCTCCGGACACTCATGCCAAAGGGGCCGGCACCCTTAGGGGCAGGGGGACATGTGCATGGCAGGTGTCCCAAGAGGGCAGCCCTTCCTTTGTCACCCTGCGGCTGCCCACCCCTCCCGCACTGGGAGGCTTTCTGAGCAGAGTGCTGCCCCAGCTCTGGTGCTGGCAGAGCACGCAAAGCTCCTGCGCTGGCAGCAGGAGGAGCCTTGCTCCTTGCCTGGCATGGGAAGTGGGAGCAGCAGCAGCGTGGGCTTGAGTTGCAGGCAGCGTCTCTGCTCTGCGCTTGGGGGCAGGGGAGAAGCTGGGCAGCAGCTTTTGCAACAGCTTTGGGGTGTCTGCACCCCTGTGCCGTTGTATGGATGTGACCGTGGTTGGCTCCAGGGGGCTGGTGGAGGAGCTGAGGACGAGGCTGCAGCGGGAAGAGGCTCGGCTGGAACAGGGGCGAGCCCAGCTGCTGAGGAGCCAGGAGACGCTGCTGGACTTTGAAAACGCACTTGACAACCTCTTCGTCCGGCTGCGGGGCATCACCGTGCCTGGCCAGGTACCCGCCCAACGCTGGGCTGAGCAGAGCCCAGGCTCTGCTTGGTGCTGCAACGGCACCGTGTGGTGACACTTGGTGCAGCGACCATCACCCCAAGGGGCTCCTTCTCCCCACCAAGGCTCTTCCCTCTCTGACTCCAGGAGCATCCTGTCAAGGCCATGGCAGTGGACGAGAAGCTCCAGCAGTGTGAGCAGAAGCTGCAGTACCTGGTGCAGCGGGTGGCTCACCTGCCCCCCTCCAGCCACAGCGAGGACGATGAGGTGCACGGCGGCTCCATCCCTGCTGCGCTCTTTGGGGACCCGCGCAGGCTTTCCCGGGTGGCCCGTGCCAAGCCATCCTCCCAGCTGGAGGATGGAGGTGCTCGAGGGAAGAGCCACGGAGCAGCTCAGGCCCAGGTGGCCCCGGGCTCTGTGGGGTGTTCCCTACCAGGGGCACATGGAGGTTGGGCACCCCTTTGCTTGTAACACCCGCCTCCCCTTCAGCTATGAACACAGCGTCTCTTTCACAGACTTTTGTGAAGGTCAGGCAGCTGCTGGAGGAAACCCTCACGACCGATCCACGGAACCAGAGGGTTTCCTTGGAGGACACGGGCGTGAGGCTCCAAGGTAGGAAAGGGGACACATCCCACGGCAACTGCCCCAGCCAGCCCCTGCCTCCTGGCATTTCTGGCTGTCCTTGCCCATCTCCCACTGTCCCAGCAGAGCCCAACCCAGGAGTTGCTCCAGGCGTTGGGGCTGACCGCGCTTGGCTCCAGGCCTTTGAGCATAGTGCTGCTTTTCTGTGTGCATGTGGGAGACTGGAGGCAGATGGTGGCTTGGGGAGCGTAGAAACACCACAGGAGCAAGGAGGGATGCTGTGGTGCAAGCGGGGAGAGCCTCGTCTTCAGAATCACTTGGCTGTGAATCTTCTTCAGAGCCAGGGCTTGGCTCTGCCAGTGGCCTCCTCCTATGGGAGCTGCCGGCTCCTCCTGGGGACACAGGCACCGCAGAGGCAGCCCCACAGACCCTCCCCAGCCCGCTCCTCTCCGCTCTCTCCTCCAGACGATTTTGATTTCCCTGACAACCACAGTGGCCTTGTCCTCACCAGAGAAGCCATCAAGCAGCAAGGGCTGGACTTGATCGAAAGCAAGAAGAAAAGCAAGAGGAAGTAGCGGTTGCTCCCCGAGACCTGGGGATGCCCCAGAGCACCCGTTGTGCACTTTTGCCTCCTGTTAATAGAGGAGATGTTTTTCATTCCATCGGATGCGCTTGGTGGGCTTTGTGTGACTGCAGGTGTGGGGATACTATTGCCAAAACGTAGCACGAGCTGTGGTTTTGAAAGGAAGCTCCAGAAGGAGCATGATGTGCCATTGACCACGTGGAATGGAGCTTCCCAGAACTAAGAGCCCAACAGGCACGTTCTTCTGCAATGACACTGTGCTTTACTGTCACCCATCCATCTCCTGCCCCTGTCCTGTTCTCATGTGCTTACCACAGCCAGGGGGGTGAGCTGAACTTCTAGGGACTACATCATAGATAGCCTGCATAGAAGAGCCAAAATTAAAACACCCTATGCCTCCTCCCACAACAGCTGTGCCAGGACAAAAAGCTCTTGCTGGGCATCACCTACACATGGTGAGCACCAGATAAGCCCCACCGACACGCCAACCTGCCCTTTCTTAGCCACCCAAAACTCCATCCCTCCACATGGAAGGGAACCAAGGAAAAGCTAGGCTGGAATGTGGGCATTGGCAGCAGCAGAATGGGAGGGAGCCCTGGGGTGGTGAGGCAGCAGGAGGCCTGTGCGAGAGGACCGCCGCTCCCCGGGGCTGAGGGACTGAGCAGCAGTGGGTCTGGACCCCAGCTGGGCACACTGTCCCCACCACAGTGGGGCGGTCATTGGCATCCATGAGGAATGGCTCAGGGAGATCCGAGAGGAGCCCGGAGGAAGGGGAGGGGGACAGAAAACAAAAGTGATGCGCAATACAATTGTTCATCCCCTGGGTGTCAAGGAGGCTGCCCAGCAGGATGCCAAGATGAAATTCCTGCAGAGCACCTTCACCCTGTGTGAAGCTGACAGAGACAGGGGCTTCTCACAATGCCTGAAGGAGTTCTACCACCAATTGCAGGTGGTAGAGACTATCAAGGTGAGGGGACAGCCGGTTGCTGTGGGGAAGGGGGCATGTTGCCAGGCACCAGCACACTGTCAGGACAGGGCACAGGCAGGGACCACCAAGGTGCCTGAGGGGCGGCGGGTGCCAGCGCAGCCCTGGCAGCTGGGATGCTGCCCAGCATCCCCCCCGTGCCAGACACACCTGAAGGCTGAACCCTGCTCCTGCAGCACGGTGCCCACCACGTCCTCGTTCTTCCAGTGCAGGGCGCAGCTGAAGGAGACCAAGCGAAGCAGAGCCGGGACGCTCAGGGCAGGGCTCAGGGCCTGCAGCCGCTCGGCACTTGGGGCAGCCTCTGCCATCGGCACCCGGTTCACCATCCCTGCGGGGAGAGCAGCCATCACCTGGGGCCTGCACGCCCACAGCCCACCCAGGGGTGGGCGGCCAAAGCCCCCCGTGTTACCTGAGCCGCTGCAGGACGGGTCGAGCAGGATGTAGGCCACCTTGCTGTACTTGGGGTCTCCGGGATCCACCGTCAGGAAGTCCTGCTGCGCCAGCTGGAAACCGGTGACGCCAGCACGCATCAGCATGGTGTTCATGGTGGCCAGGCGCTTGGTGTCCACGTCAAAGGCAAAGATCCGGCTGAAGGCAGAGCCCGGCGCCCAAGAGATGTGTAAACATCCCGCACGGCCTCAGGAACGCGCTGCCCTCACAGCATCACACACCGGCCATCGGCCAGCCAGGCTGTGCTTGGGAGCTGCTCCCCAGCCAGGACAGGTCTTGGGCAGGGAGAGGGAGCAGGGGCTGCAAAGTGAACCCCTGTGTGATCCCACATCCCCCTGCACCCTTCCCAAGCCACCAGCCTACCCAGGGAAAAGCCAGCACCACACAGCCCTGCCCTCACCCCTTGTTCTTCAGGATGGCTGCCAGGTGGCTGGTCTTGTTCCCAGGCGCAGCGCAGGCATCGATGACGTGGGAGCCAGCAGCGGGGCTGAGAAGGAAGGCGGGGAGGCAGCTGGCCTGCAGGAGGACAAAGCCCTGTGAGCAGAGCGGGCAAGAAGCAGCCCCTGCCCCTCCTCAGCCATGGCTGACACTGCAGGGCCGCAGGCGGCCACAGCAGCAGGGGACAAGTGCACCAGCACCCACTGCCAGGAGCCTCTGCCTGGCCGCAACCTCCCGCTGCTCCCAGAGCTGGTGCCGGCTCCTCCTGGGGGTTACAGCCCGCTTCACAGCAATACCCCCATCCGTACATGTGATGGAAGCCGAGCCACAGGGCAGCCCCAGAGCTGCTGGCTGCATTCGTGCTCTCTGCTGCAGTAAAGCACGAGCATAGCCCTTGGCATGGGGGAAGAAGTTTTCCCTCCACCCATGTCAGGGGATTCCCCAGCCCTGCAGCCTCCTGCCACCAGCTCCCCACCTTGTCCTGCAGAATGATGTGTCCTGAAGTATACAGCAGGTTCTCATGGAAGTCTGTCTGCGGAGGGAAAACCAGCAGCTCCGGGAGGTGAAGGTCCAACAGGAATTTCTTCCCGGAGAGGGCCCTCAGTTCTTCCACACTGCCCACGAGGCACAGGGATGATGAACACGCAGTCCTGCCTCATCCTGCCCACACCAGAGCTCTGCAGAGCCCAGGCTGACACCCTCTTTGTCCCACGTCTCCTCTCTCCTTCAGTGCCAGGCAGCGCACGGAAGGGCAGAACGCAGGAGTGGGGACACCCCAACCCAGGCACCCTGAGCACCGAGACCGACGACCCCTTGACCCACAGGACCTCATCCCAAGCCCCTGTTGCTCGCTGACGCCCCAGATAAGGTGGGGCAGCAGGAAGCAACGCTTACCTGGCTGCCTTGCCCAGGTAGGAGTAGCCCTCACGTTTGAAGAAGTCAACCACGTCGTCCACGCGTGTCTTCAGGGTGTTGACCCGGACGTAGCGCGGTATCTGGGAAGCTGGGGGAGCCGCCCGGGTCGCACACGGCCACCCACCGCCGCCACCACAGGGACACCACCGCGCCCAGAGGCACACTCACCGCCGGGGCCGGCTGCCTGCGCCGGGGCCAGGAGGTCCTCGTTGCGGCTCACCTTCCGCCGCACCTTCAGGCGGGCCAGCTCGGCCTCCAGCCGGGCCCGGTGCCGCCGGGCCAGCGCCTTCCAGCGGCCCCCGCACTTCAAGCCCTTGCCGAAGAGCAGGTCGTACACCAGCACCTGCGGGGACGAGGCTGAGCCGGGACCCGCCGCCCCGGGACCCGCCGCCGCCGCCACCCCCGGCCCCGCTCACCTTCGCCAGCTGCGGGGACAACTTCTTCTCGGCCTGCAGCAGCGCGGCGCCGGCCAGCAGCTCCTCCAGCACCGGCGAGTAGCGGAGCGTCTCGGACACCAGGGCGTACAGCTGCCGGACGTGCTGCGGGGCGGTCAGGGGCCACGGCCCGAGCCCGCCACAGCCCCGCCCCGGGCTCGCCCCTCGCCCCCCGCCCCTCGCCCCGCGCACCGGGAACCGGCTGTGGTACACCAGCGCCTTGACGCCGCCGGCGCCGCGCTCCAGCCCCTCCAGGACGGCGGCGGCCGCGCTGTACAGCGCCATGGCTCCCGCCGCCCGCCTGCGCACACGCCACTTCCGGCGGTGCCGCGTCCCGCCCGGCAGCGGGCAAGGACGGGCAGGAGGCGGGCGGGGACTTCCGGGGTCTTCGCGCCGCCGGGAGAGAAACTGAGCGCGGAGAGAGAGGGACGGGGAGCTGGGGGGAGCCCAGAGGAGGCCACGGAGCTGCTGCGAGCACAGGGTGCCCAGCGCGGAGCAGGGAGAACCCCGCAATGGCCTTAGGCCGCCCCAGAGCGCGCGCGCGGCCCCGCCTCCCTGGCAGTGTTCAAGGCCAGGTTGGACACAGGTGCTTGGAGCAAGGTGCTCCAGTGGAAGGTGTCCCTGCCCGTGGCAGGGGTTGGAACTGGATGAGCTTTCAGGTCCCTTTTGCTCCTGGCAGGGGATGGCGGTGCCCGGCAGCGCGGAGCCGCGCGCGGGCAGCAGCATGGCGGCACAAGGCCGCTGGCAGAGCGCGGCCTGACCGTGGCCTTGGCCACCGCGCGCCTGGTGCTCCGGGCCGGCGGCCCTTACCGCGGCGCTCCTTGGGGATGGCGGTGCCGGGCCCGCGCGCGGGCCGCTGGCTGCCGGCGCTGGCAGTGGCGCTGACCGTGGCCTTGGCCTGCCTGGTGCTGCAGGGATCGCTGCTGGGCGCGGCGCTGGGCGCGGCACGCCCCGCGCTTGCCCGCCCAGCACCCTCCCGCACGGCGCCCGTACGGCAAATCTGCCGCTAACGGCTGCCCGGCCGCGGGCACCGTCCGTGCTGAGAGCACCGTGTCCCGCCGCTACTACCTCGAGTGAGCGCTGGGGGGGGAGGACGGGGCCGGATCCTCCCGCCGCTAACAGAGGCGCTGACCGTTGTGTCCCCGCAGGGCCCCGCAGCCGACCGTGCGTCGCCGGTACCCGCTGCCACCGGACCGGAGCCCTGGGACCGTTTTCCTGCCGGTACGCTGGGACAGTCAGATGCCCAGGGGCTCGCCATGGGCCCGACGCCCAGCCCCGCTCCGCAGCCCTGTGACTGTTAAGGTTGCCGGCCTGTCTCACTCTCCTGCGTGAGTACGGGGAGGGCAGCGCCGGGAGAACTTCACCTTGATGGGACCGAACAGGGGGGATCTGGACTTGGGCCCCTTGGTCCTGCAGCAGCTCCCCGGGGGGCGGCAGCCCGTGGTGTGAGACCCCAACCCCCCGGGGAGGCTGCAAGAGGATCCCGGCCCCCTTTATGGGGTAAAAACCAGGCCCTGGTGGGGGATCTCGCTTTGTGGATCGCAGCTCGCCTAATGCCCTGCACTGCCTTGCTTTGACCCACAGCTTGACACAACAAATCTTAGCTAGGAACTTCCAGGACAAAAGCAGCCCAGACCCCTGCGCCAAAGAGACGGTGCTCAGTGCCATCAAGGAGTGCAGGAAGAGGCCCTTGCAGCAGGAGGACAACCAGGCTTTGGGAAGTGATCATGAGAACAAGAGGAGGTAATGAGCCAGCAGTCCAGGTCGCTGCCAGTGAGTTGGGAAGGTCTAAATGGGGCGAGTGCTTCAGTGGTGGCAAACGGGATGTGACCGGGAGTGGGTGGCAAAATGCTGCTGAAAGTGAACTGGGGAGGGAAGCACAGCCATCCCATCACCTGGGCCTCTGGGCTGTGTTGGGAAGTTCTCCTGGACTTTGTTTTGCCCTTGAGATTAACGGAATGTGGTTTAGGGTTTTGTCTGGGCAAGCTTGTGGGTCAGGTGTGTTTCCCTTCATTGCTGAGGGTGGAAAAGGCTGGGATGTGTTTTGGGTAAGCTTGGCTGTACTTGAGCTGGTGGGGGAAGTGGCTTCTGTCATCACAAGGATTCACAGACTGGGGAAATGTGGTGGGAAATGCTGGGATGCCCTGCAGGCTCGTCATCTCTATCCTTCAGTTAGACCCAGGCTTCCAGGAGTGACGGGATCCCCGAGTCTTACCTCCCCAGGTGGAAGCAGTGCCCTTTAAGCAAGCCATGCACTTCCTCTGTGCTGTAGCTAGCAAAAGGAGGTACAAACACAAAAGTGAAAGACTATCTTCTGCTTTTGTTAGTCCAGGTCAGTGGCTTTCAGCTCTGAACTCAAAGTAATAAGGGCTCAGTGTCTTTCCCAGTGCTCTGGGAAGAACGAGGTGTAAATCCTGGGTGCCAAGGTGTATGGAGCCTTTCTCTCTGCCCAGGCATGTTGCTGCCTCACCATTCTCCCCTCCTGGTTTTAATCCTTGTGGATATGAATGCTGTTTACCTTGTGCTCCTTGTATGCTGCAGCTGCCTGCCTGGGCTGGAGAAGAGGAACTGCAGGAGAAACTGCAGAAGAGTGGCTTGGGCAGTACCTGGTGCATTGTGCTGCATGCTGCACTGGGGCTGCTGCTAGAGGTGGCCCAGAGAGCGCAGTGGGACGAGTGGTGGTTCACGGGGCTCCTGCAAGGCAGGGCCTGCCCTTCTGTCTGCCACTGCCGAGCTTCCCTCTGCCCTTGAACCCTTGGCTTGGTGAATCTGCAGCCTGCAGGAGCCGAGCAGGACAGCAACAGGATGGGTGCACAGACAGCATAAGCTTGTTTTTTTTTTTATTTGATTTCTTTCAATGTGCCAGTGCACAGCTCTGCCACAAAATCCAGTTTGAAGGCATTAATGTCTGGCAAGCATGCCAAATGATTTTAGGCAGCAAATCCTGCAACCTTTGAGGGCAGAAAGAAGACAAGGTCACCTGGTGAGCTCAGGATCGCCCATGCGCTGGACCAGCATGCTCAGAGCTCCAGGGAAGCACATGGGCTAAGTGACAAGGCGGATCATGCACCTCCAGCCCAGCTTCACAGGACGTTTGCTGTAGGACTTTCAGACTTCAGCTCTTGACTGAGTCATGGTAGGAAGGGGATCCATTTCTTACTCCCAACATTCTGGGGCACTGTTTAGGAAGAAGTCAGAGATATGAGTTTCAGAGGTCAGGTCTCTTCCAGAAACAGGCTGCTGAGTCTCTCTGAAATATTTTGGTTTCAAATAATGGATTTGACCAGCTGGTGCAGGTGCTGGTGCTTAGAAGGAGGCAGTTTGGGTGGGAGGCAGTGAGGACAGGACCAGGTGGAGAAAGAACCTGCAGAAGGATGCAGATGAGGGAAAACTCTGTCCTGGGTATTGGGTGGCAGGAAAAAAGCAAGTTTTGTGCTTTCCGGTGCTAAGCCTGCCTGGAAAAGGGTCCTCGCCCTGGGCTGGGAGCCCTCCATGTTACCACTGACTTATGCCCTCTCTCCTGCAGGCGCTGTGGCAGCAGTGAAAGTGGGCAGTTGGCTATAAAGACACCAGAAGCAAACGGTGCCCCTGCCTCTCTTGTACCAAAGTAAGTACTTCAGGGCAAAAGCAACTCTGTGAACTGGGAGTGGGGAGTCCAAAATCCTGTAGGTTCTGGGAAGGGTGCTTGCCTTTGTCTTGGGGAGCCCAGCTTTGGGGAGATCATGAGAGCCTGTGGCCGTGCCTTTGGTCTGTCACCCTGAGCACAGGTGGTGGCTCTAAAGGCTGTGCTGCTGCTGAGGCTTGTTTCTAAGTCCTGCAATGTAAGGAGGAGTGGGGTTGCTTTCCTCCACTCACCCTACATTGAAAGGACCTGTGGGGAACTCATGAAATCTTTAACCTCCTCTAGGCCTGAGGCTATGAAGAGGGACCTTGACTCGCACCACCCAGAGGAGTGCTCAAAATTGAACATCTCTTCTCCCAGCAAAACATACACGGCAGGCATCCCAGGTTCTGAGCGCAATGCAATCGCCAGCTCTTACAGCTCAAGCCGGGGACTCCCACAGGTAGGAAATGTCCTGCCTAAGGCAGCCCTGGAGCCCAGCGTGCAGCTCTTTTCCCCTCCGCGCTGTGCCCCGGCCAGTCTGCTGGGGGATACATCCAGAGGAAAAGGAAAGACAAAATCTCTTTGCTGTGCGGACACCTTTTCAGCTGGAGGCAGCAGCACGTGTGGGATCCCTGTGTTCCCACTTTGACGTGGGTCTCTTCAGCACCTGCTGAGCTGTAATGGCTGATTGTGCCATTACATGATGGCTTAGTCATGGCTATTGGAGCTCTGCAGCTGTGCAGGGAAAGGTTTTCTCCAGGGTGGATCAGTAGGGTTTGCTCTTGCTGGGCCAGCAGCATCTTTCCTCTCCGTCACCTCAGCCATAAAGAGCCTGGAGGCCACTTGCTCCCAGAGTGGATTCAGTTTGGGGTGCTCAGACTTTGCCCTCCATGGCCGTTCTGGAGGGGAGTTGAACAGCGTTGAAGCAAGAGAGGCTCTGGGCTTGGCAGCTAGCACCTGCTAGATGGGATTTACTCTGTGGTGAACAGGAGAATAGGAGTCTGTGCTCCCCTGAACCAAATCAGTTACTATTGGTCTCTCTGTTACAGGTGAAGAGAAGGTGTCTGAGTGTGTCTCCACAGTCCAGCACAGCATCCTCCTGCTGCGAGATGCCAGAGTGGCCTCTTAAGAAGGGAAGGTAATGTACTGCTCATCTGGCGAGCTCCTGCTTGTCGATGCCAGCTGGGAAGAAAGCAGTTACCTTTCCAGCTATCCTAGTACCTAAGTCCTGCTCTCCAATGAAGCCATGACACTCCAGGCCCTGAGACACAGCTGCTGGGTCACCCAGCTGTGGGGAAGCCCTATTGTGTCCATCAGCATTCCTGCAGCCTTGTTCCACTGTGGTCCTGGCGGCAGCGCTGACCTGCACCATCCCTGCCCTGCTCCCAGGCTGGATTAGAGCTTGAAGGGCCCAGATTGCTTCAGCAGTGACATTGCTGTGTGGTGTTGGCATGTCCTGGGTCTGGCTGGTTGCCAAAATGCTGCAAAGAGGCAGCCCCCGATTTTTGCCATCTCCTCAAAAGCAGTTCATGGGCGCTCCAGGAGGGCTGTAATGTAGTGCCCACCTGGGCATGCAGGCCCTTGTTCTCCTCTCTCCTGGCTCAGAGAAGGACCTGACCTTGTCCTCACTAAAAGCGACATAGCAGCTGCCCTGCTGACAGGATGGCTCCAAGCCAAGGCCCTGCAACTGGCAGTGGCTCCCACCCGGGATCCCTGGCTGCTGCCCTGAGGATGCCC